GAGTCCTCCTCGGATGATGACAAAGACTCTTATCAAGAAACGTCTAGTGATGAAACACCAAGATCCTTTTCATCAAAATCACAATCTGAAGCAAACTACATCCCAAGACTCTTTATGGAAAATATAAAAGAGGAAGATTCATTTTTTGAAGAATCTCCTAAAGAAACTCTAGTCTCTGAAAGGACTAAACCAAATGGCAGTCCTTGATTCATATTTGATGATATACCGCCTAGTCGTTAAGAAAGAGACTACTCGAATTTGGAGCATAGCTTGACACCCAGATAATGAAAACAAATGCAGATAGTTATAAGGTAATTGAAGAATTTTGCTGTAGAATGACATGCACGATGAAGGAATGGTATCACAATCTTGGATCTTTCAAACAAGATAACTTACATCATTTAGAAAGCACGACTAATATCCTTGGCATACTCCACCAAGAATTTATCATAAATATGGATATGTTTGATAAAAAAATAAACAAGAATTCTTTGAGATAAAGTGTTGTTCCCTCAAAACAAAAGATCTTGACAAACACTATCATAAGATAACACAAAGGTTTTATCTCCTTAATGGGTACAACGATCCTAGTCTCAGGAATAGCTATGTATCATCTCTACCACACAAACTCCTGCAAGAAATCAATAGGATGGTAACAACAGCTAAAAAGGACATTGCAACTACGAGTCTTGGCCAGATTCATCAGGCAACATTGGAAGCACTTGAAAAGCTTTGCAGCTTTCATCATCAATTTCAAAAAGTTATACAACAAAATTCAAAATTCACCAAGGCATGCAAAACAACCTTATCTCGAGATTAAGTGTAAATACAAAAGGTTTAGTTGTGCAACAAAAAATAAACATCATCATCAAAAATACTCCAAATCTCATAGGACCTTTAAGGGAAAGAAAAAGAAGGCTATGAAGTTCTTTAAAAGAAAATATTTCAGAGGAAAGGGGAAAAATCAGAGATGCTTTGTTTATGGGAAAAAGGGACACTTTTCTAAGGAATGTCCTAATAATACCCACAAAGCCGCAAAATTGATCAACTCTCTTCAACCTCTAGATGGAGACCTAAAATCTTTGTATTCTGAACAAAGCTATGATGATGAAGAAACAATTTTTCCATTCAAGACTCTGCGTCTGACGAAGCATCATTTTCTGAATCAGAAGATGACAAATATTTCCAGGTTTACTCCTTCAAAGAGATAGGAAGTTCTCTTTCTACTCCACCACTCCCATGTGTTGAAGCTCATGTCCTCGCGACAAAGTTTTCCCATCCAAAGAAAGTTATAGCTTATATGGAAACTGGGGCCCTGATTACAATGATGAATCCTAGCATTCTCCCAGCAGAATCATGGGTAACACATGTTGCATACTTTGTAGCAGCAGATGGGAAAGTCTTCAGGAAAAATTTAATGACCAGGGAAAATATAGGAATCAAATTCTTCCCCGACTGCATAGTTTGGACCAAGGTCATTGGAAGCAATCTTCCAAATAAAGATATTGTAGTAGGGATGGATGTATATTCAACAGCCAATAGACTTCAAATTCTTTCCACAGGAATAAAATTCAAAAGAGAATTCAAACCTTATTCTGGTATATTTAAGTTATATTCACTAACTAAAATCCCTGCTGGGTATGAATAAATCAAGTCCAACCTACTCAAACTCTATGGAGACAACCATGAAACATTCTGCCATCCAAAATCTCTATGGTAGAATAAAGAATTTTTTGTTCAATTTCCTTTTAAGCTCAATGAAGATGTTAATCTAACCAAGGTCACTCATCCAAGAACGAGTCCATCAGATTATACATTATCCATAGAAGAATGCGACCAATTGCTCAAACAAGGTCTGATAGAACCCACCAAATCAGAATGGGCTTACCAAACATTTTATGTGGAAAAGAAATATGAAAAGTTAAGAGGAAAAAAGAGGCTAGTATTTGATTATAAACCTCTAAATCATTTCCTCAAGGATGATAAATTTCCTATTCCAAAGGCCTCATCCTTAAATATTTTCATCAAAGATGCCCAAATCTATTCCAACTTTGATCTTAAGTCAGGATTTTGGCAATTGGGTATCGACCCCGAGGATCTTTAGAAAACGGAGTTGTGCATTCCTAACGCCCAATACCAATGAACTGTGTTATCATTTGGGCTTAAGGTAGCTCTATCACTTTTTCAAAAGGCCATGACTAGAATTTTTGAGCCCATTCTCAATAGTATCCTCATCTATATTGATGATGTACTCTTATTCTCAAAAGATGAAAAATCCCATAAACAATCATTGGGACAATTCCTTCAAATAGCCCAACGACATAGAATGATGCTCTCTGAAAAGAAAAGTCAATTGGGCCAAACAAAAATTGATTTTCTAGGAATGCATTTTTCCCAAGGGAAATATCAACCTCAACCTTATATTGCTCAAGAATTGTTAAACTTTCTCGACGAAAATCTCATAGTTAAGCAAATTCAACAATTTCTTGGTATAATTAATTATATCAGAGATTTCTTGCCAAAACTGGAAAGATACATGAGTCCTCTATCTCAAATGCTGAAGAACCCCCCCCCCCCCCCCCCCACCATGGGGAACAAAGCAAACTGAAGCAGTAAGAGCCTTGAAAAACACATATACCTCACCCGCCTTAAAGATCCTGGGAGAAGGTAAAAAAATATTACATACGGATGCCATTAATCGTTATTGGGGAGCTGTCTTGATAGAAGAAATTGATGGAATAAAGCATTATTATGGTCATGCTAGTGGTCAATTCAAAGAAGCTGAAAAACATTACCATATCACTTATAAGAAATCTCTTGCAGTTAAGATGGGTATCCAAAAGTTTGACTTTCACTTGAGAGGTCATCAGTTTGAAGTCCAGGTGGATAATTCCTCTTTCCCTAAGATCCTCTAATTCAAAAATAAGATGCCTCCTGGTCCTCAAACTCTTAGGCTCAAAGATTGGTTTTCTAGATATGATTTTATTGTGAAACATATTAAAGGAACTCAAAATGTGATTCATGCTTTACTTTCTAGGCCTATGAAATCCATCTAGATCATTACTATCAAGCACATTTTTCCTTTGATTCTAATGGTTAAACCCTTGCCAAGTCGTGCCTCCAGGATCAAAGACTTTCCTCTGGGAATAACTATATCCTCTTCACCCTCACAGCTCAAGCAGTATGCCAGGAATAATCTTTTTATTATATGACAAAATTAATAAGGAATAAACTCTCTGACCATACTCCTTATTTCTCAGACACGCCATTTCCCTACAAATTTTAATAAACCCTAATGCTAAATTCACAACAAAAAAAAAAACATTTGTGGTATGTCTGGTGTGCCACCACTTTGTATTTTATGCATGTCCTCATATCCATCAAAGCTATGTATGAACACATAATGGATCCTAAGAACCACGAGTCCTTGATTTGGACTAGTCTTGAATGGTACTCTCCACTAACATGGTGGAGAAATCAATTAAAACTAGTTCTAGACGAGGTCAAAGAAAGAGGGTTAGCCTCAGAGGCTATTAGCAAATTCAAGATTGTTTTCTTTATGCACAGACCCTATCAAACAGATCCATCCACTAAGTTACTTGGTTGTAAGAGTTATGTTCATATATGGGAAACCATTGATGATTATCCTCCAAATCTAAAAGTTACAAGAGAATTAATGGAATATGTTAACTTCATCAACCTCTATGAACCAGACAAGATGAATGATAATTCCACTTGTATAAGTCATTAAGCTCAATATAAAAATCGAGAGGTTGGAGAAAGCTCAGTTCAAGCCACACAATAAAAAGCAGATTTCCCAATGGAAGCTGAATTCTCAGAAGGACACGTGGAAGAAGCTCATAGAAAAATATCAGACCATGCTTACATGATGGATGATGTGTGAGAAAAAGAGACATCTCGATACAGATACTACTTTTCAGAAGAATACTTATCCGATCAGAATATGTCTTCAAGTCATGAACCTATCTTTAAAGACTAATTGGACAAGTGTCTCTTATATATCACAAGCATGTTTATAAATAGTTAAATTTCATCTTTTTGTGTAATAATACTACAATAATATATCCATAAGGGATAAGTGTGTCAGACTTTTGAAAAAAGACATTAATGAAGCCATGTTTGTAAATAATCTGGTTTTGTCTTTTGTGAATCTCCTTGACTATAAAAGGATATCTCTTGTAACATTTCAAGTCATAAGCAATAAGACAAAAAACCATCTTGTGTGCTTAAGAACAAAATGTTCTAACTCTCTTTTCTTTCTCCCTAAAAGTTTTAGTTATTGTATTCATGTCAAAATTCCTCACACAGATGCAAGTATGCTCTACACTTGCCTCAACACGAGGATCTTGTGTATCAGAAAATATTCGACCATCGATTTATACTACGGTCCTCGCTATTATGGAATGTTAGTTTTAATTGTTAATCTATATTATGCCTATAATTGACTGTTCAATGACAATACAGTTAAGACTGATTTCATAGTATGTGAGGCTTTCAGACAATGTGGTATCAACTTCAACATAAATAAGAAGTGCATATGATATCAATATAATAAAGAGATATGATATCAATATAATAAAGAGAGTAAGTAAGAGGAAAATATGTTTGTGAGAATCATTATTAAATTAAAATGTTCAAACTGCATATTTCCTAGTTATCACTTATCACTTGTCATTATTATTGTTACAAAAGTATTTACTTTAATTTTCTTGGTATGTAGATGTTCAATACAATTGTTTGTTACTTTATTTAATAATAATTTAACCAGAGCTTGAAAAGGGCAACAAACACTTTCCAAATTACATAAAAGTTATAGAACATCCTATTATACAAACATATTTGAAAACAAAATAACAGTGACACACAAAATCCAACCGCATCCGCCGCCGTCACCTACCGCCCTCCTCCACTCCGTCATCCACCGCCGCCACTTCACCGTCACACCACCAAACCACCCCCTCATCCCTCACACCACTGGTATGTTGCATCGTCTTTTCAATTTTCGTTTCCCTCTCTTCAAAAAACCATTCTCCACAGCACTTTCACTCTCTTCCTCACATACCCATTTCACAAAACCCTCAAAAATCTCATCTTTTCACCCCAACACCTCCCAAGTCCTCCAAAAATTCCACCTTTATCAAAACAACCCTTCTCTTGCACTCTCTTACTTCACTCACCTCACCCAACAAGGTTTCTCTCACAACGTTCAAACCTATTCTTCCTTCATTACAATCCTATGTTACTGGAATTTGAATAGAAGCTTAGATTCTTTGTTCATTGACATCATTGCTCATTCCAAACAAAACCCATCATTTCAAATTCATGATTTGTTTGAATCACTCTTTCAAGATGTTGAGAATGTTGATTTAGATAATAAAAATCATTACTTGTTTAGAGCATTTCACGTGTTTGTTAAAACTTGTGTTTCTCTTAACATGTTTGATGAAGCTATTGATTTCTTGTTTGAGTTTCAAGTTAAGAGGTTTTGGGTTCTTCCAAGTATATTATGTTGTAACTTTCTTATCAACCGTTTGGTTATGCGTGATGAAGTTTATATGGCTTTGGGGGTTTATAATGAAATCAAGAGGCTTGGTGTTTGTCCTAACAATCATACTTATGCTATTGTGATCAAGGGGTTGTGTAAGAAAGGTGATGATTTGATTCACGCGTCTCGGGTTTTTGACGAGATGGTGGAGGCCGGGGTGACTCCGAATTCGTATTGTTACGCGGCTTTTATCGAGGGGTTGTGTAAGAATAATATGTCTGATTTGGGGTATGAGGTGCTTCAAGAACGGAGAAAGAGTAATGCTCCGATAGAGGCTTATGCGTATGCTGCAGTTATTCATGGGTTTTGTAATGAAATGAAGTTAGATAAAGCCGAGAGTGTGTTTTTCGATATGGAATGGCAGGGGATTGTTCCTGATTTTCATGTTTATTCTTTGTTGATTTGTGGATATTGTAAGATCGGTGATTTGCGTAAAGCTGAAGTGTTATACGACGACATGATTTCGAAGGGTATAAAGACAAATTGTGTGATTGCTAGTTGTATTCTTCATTGCATGAGTGGGATGGGGATGGATTCGAGAGTTGTAGATAGGTTTAAAGAATTAAAACGTTCAGGTGTGTTTCTTGACGGGGTTGCTTACAATATCGTATTTGGTTCTTTGTGTAAATTGGGTAAGGTGGATGATGCGGTAGATATGTTGGAGGAGTTGAAATCTATGCGTATCGATTTAGATATCAAACACTACACAACCTTTATTAACGGTTTCTGTCTTCAAGGTAAACCCGATGTAGCTTGTAGTATATTCAAAGAAATGGAAGAGAAAGGATTTAAACCTGACATTGTTGCTTATAATGTACTAGCCGCCGGTTTGTTTAGAAATCATCATGCTTGTGAGGCGATTGAGCTTTTGAATTGTATGGATAGTCAAGGTGTGGAGCCGAACGCTACTACGCATAAGATTATCATCGAAGGTTTGTGTTCGGCAGGCAAGATTGAAGAAGCCGAGGCATATTTTAACGTTCTGAAAGTTAAAAGCGTCGAAATCTATTCTGCCATGGTTAATGGCTATTGTGAAGCCGGTCTTATTGAAAAATCATGCGAAGTTTTCTGCGAGATTTCAAACGAAGGAGATATTTCAGAAGAAACTTCTGGTTTTAAGAAACTTAGCAAAGTAATGTATTCTAAAGTATTAGCTGCGTTGTGCCGGGAAGGGAATATAGAACACGCTCGCTCATTGTTTGATTTTTTCCTCGAGAGAGGATTTACGCCCGATGTTGTAACTTACACAATTATGATAAAAAGTTATTGTAGATTGAATTGCTTGCAAGAGGCTCATGATCTCTTCCGGGATATGAAGAGCCGAGGGATAAAACCCGATGTAATTACCTACACGGTTCTACTCGACGGGAAGTTCAAACAAGTGAATTTAAAAAGGCATTTCTCTTCTCAAGACAAAAGAGGAAGTGATGCAACGTATGGTGTTTCGACTATCTTGAAAGATATGGAGCAAATGAAAATAAGTCCAGATGTTGTTATTTACACTGTTTTGATCGATGGATACGTAAAGGTCGATAACTTTCAAGAAGCGATTAGATTCTTTAATGAAATTATTGATCTGAGACTAGAACCGGATAACGTAACTTACACTGCTCTACTTTCTGGCTTGTTAAACCGCGGGCACACGGAGAAAGCTGTTATCTTGTATAATGAAATGTCTTCCAAGGGAATGATGCCTCCCTTGCCTATCATGTCCAAGTTAAAACGGCAAGTTATAAAAGCTAGAAAGGTGCAATTTCAAAAGTAGTGAGTCGGTTTTGACTGTTGGTGCTTGGAGTTATACCAACAAGTAGTGAGTCGTTATAGAATATTGTACGTTACATCAAAATTTTGATTCCAAGAATCACTTTATTGGTATAATCATCTCTCATTTCTAATTATCACTATACATCATGGAAGAGAAATACAATCTAAATAACTTTGATACATTTTAGAATACAATCTAAATGCTTTTGATACAATATGATTAGTCTGTCATCTGAATTTGAGATCCAAACTAATCAAACCGACGAAATTCGTGTGAAGGATCTTAGAGAAGCTTCTTCCTTTCAAAGAATGTCTTCAAATGCCATAGTTGCAAACCAGCAACAGACAAGCAAACCGTGATAGAAAGAAAAATGAATGTAAACATCTTATTATCAGTCGTTCTGTTAAAATCTTGCATCTCTTCCTCCCTATATCAATGTCATGGAGAAAAGAACATCAAAATTCAGCAAAAAAAACTCTTATTTGAATGAGTAATAAGTTTTCTCCAATGAGTAATATCCGTACTATACACTTATACCTTCCACGAAGATAAAACATCTCGTCGTGGATGAATGAGACACTGTCATACAACCTCTGTAACTCGTATTCCATTACCTAAGAAGGAAAAAACACTACTTTAGAAAACACATAGATCAAATCAAAAAGACCTGCATGCCTACCCACCTCTCTTTTTTTTTTCTTTTCAAAAGGGACCAAAGTTTTAGGGCCGCACCCTCAACTATGCCGCATACTTTTACGGGATGGGCCTAAACAGAGCACACATACTCGTTTGCCATCTTATCCAATTTCGATCACGATATCACAGAGATAAAATCGTGGTGAATTCCTAAGCCACCGAAATCCTTTTCTATAATACCAACCGTGCGCGTGTAAATGCGAAGTCAAAAATTTACCTCAACCTGATTTTTTTTCGCAATCTTATACCGGTCCTTCTCCGCCATACCAGTTCTCCACTCAAAATCAATCGTGACAGTTATCGCCGGTTTGCGTTCCAGCACTGAAAAACAAGTTGTGTAGTCACCCGCTTCAGCTGTTGTAAATGCAAAATTACCAGAACCCACATGATTCCCAAAATGGAAATTATTTCCATAAGGTGATCGAACCTGAAAGACAACCAACCACATTACACAAACCCATCATAAAAATCACATTTTTCGAGGTTAATTCATAACATAACAACATTAATCAACACAAAAACAACGAAAGTTTCAAAATTTTGATATCAAAACCTTGAATGATCATGTCTCACAAACATACCCTGACAGTTATCTTGTGAGAATCAGGAATTGGAGACCCTTCTTCACCGGGATTAACGACGGAGTAATTACCGACGGTCATGGCATTTCCTTTGATATCATCACTGATACATTTGGGTTCACCTGATTTGAGGGTAAACCGCATTGAATTGACAGAGGTAAACATCAATGCATGGATGATAGGAACGAGAAGAAGAATTGAATTGAACATTGTGATAGTGAATTGTTGTCAATTTGGGTGGATTTGGAATTGGAAGGGTAAAGAGAGGGAGATATTTTTAGGGTTTGCATGGAATATAGAAAGGAAGAAGAAAGAGAAAGGAATGTAGTGTTAACGGTTAACCGCCATGAATAGGATATTTCTTTAACTATTTTTAGGTTAGCAAATGTAGCAAATTATGAATATTTTATAGATTTCATCGGTGTGAGAGTTAATTAAATCTCCACGTTACAATAAAAAGATTTTTTTTTTCAAGATGATTTTTTTAATAAAAATGATGTTTTTTTTTTATTTAAATTTTATACAAATAGGTATACCTGAAATTAATGATTAAATTTGACATTATATAATAATAATTACAATAAAAAAATTACATGAAATGAAAATGTGAGAAAGTCGTTCCAAGTATTTTTTTTCAAAGACAAATAAAATATATTAAAGAAATAGTATTATTGATCAAAGTACAGGAATTGGAGAGACAGGTATAAGGAATATCAAATCAGAGAGCAAAGTCCACTGAAAAAACAAACAAAATTATAATAAACCTAACCACCAAACAATAGAAACATGTTCCACAAAACTATAAAAGAAAAGGCACATAAACCAAATCTAGACAAAGTTAAAACTTTCAGATTCAGAACGCATACAACAACAATAACGAAACTATAAAAGACACCACAAAAATATATTTATGATTAGTTCTGAAACGGGATAAATTTTTCAAGTCACGTCAAAAAAGACCTAACTTTTTTTGATAAACCTATTAAGATATTATTTTCAAGTCAAGATGATATTCATGTCTTCCACGTCTTTTAGTGTCATTGATAAACTAGAAAAAAGTATATCATTTCGAGATTTTCAAATCGATCAAACCACGACATGTCAAATCATCCTCAATCTCCTCTAGACCTGAAACCTCCACTCGAAAGAATAAACATCTCAAAAAGAGTCAACATATCTCTAAGCAAAATAACACACCACTCCAACCACCTAAAAATTTTATACCAGATAGAGAATATAACTTCACAAATCACAAAGAGATAAGAGGATGACTCAGTAGAAATCGAATAAAGAGGACATGAAATAATTTCAGAGGACAAAGAAATTCCTCTCTTAAATAAATTATATCTAATCGGAATACGACTTCGGAGCTGTCGAGAAAAAACTATCTTTAAAGAAGATATAATTAAACCAAATAAACAGAAGGATATCTCTCTAATATATTCATGCGAGTGTTGATTTTGTCTAAGCTTAGTCTCCTCAGATACTCGATGAACATCTCTCCCATTTGTTTGGTATGCATTTCTCAACTTTTTTTCTAGGGAGTTAGAAAGCCTTTAAACTCTTTTGTTGCGAGCTTTGTCGTCCACTAAAGGAAATTCGTCATTTTTTTCAATTTTATTCTCAATCAAGGATATGGTTAAATAATTGATCATATAATATCTACACAATATTGTACTATTTACAAATACGGTGAACAATAATGTTTAAATTTTTGATTTTTTTCATCTTTTTCCTTTTTCTTTAAAATAATTTTGGTTAATGGAATATAAATATTTAGTTAATAAAACATATAATCCGGTTAATTTGTTTTGACATTAAAAATTGAAAAAATAAAATTGATTAATTGAGTGTAGTAAATTAATTAATATGGATCATAATTTGGTTAATATAGATCATAACTTGGTTATTGTGTTCCTAGACATTAAAAAATAAAACCTTACATAGTAAATCACTTATAGTTAATGGTATCTATAAGATTCATTAATACATATAATAATTTAGTTAATGAGTTTTCAAATATAAAAGTGTATTTAAGTAATAAAATAATATTGGTTAATGAGTGTAAAGATTGGTTAAGACATTTTATAATTGGGTTAAATATGTAGAGGTCTCTATATGTATCATAATTCAATTTTAATCTCTCAAAAAATTCCTTTAAACAATGGTCTTTTTAATGTTTTCCGTCCATAATTTTAGTCTCTCCCATTAACTTTCATTAACGCAAGCTGACGTGGCATGCCACGTAGAAGACTGACTGTCAATAAAAGTAAAAAATTGTCACTAAAACTATCTTAAAAGATGAAGATTCATGAAAAAATTCAAAACTGTCACTAGAACCCAGAAACAGTCACTAAAACTATGTTAGAAGATTTTCATGACAAAATCCAGACATTGTCACTAGAACTCATAAACTGTCACTAAAACTATCTTAAAAGATGAAGATTCATGACAAACCCCATATTTTTTCACTAAAACTCATAAACCATCACAAAAATTATTTATGAAGATTTTGATTCATGACAAAACCAAGAATCTGTCAATAAAAGTATTTGAGAAGATGTAGATTCATTTCCAAAACTCAAAATCCATCACTAAAGCCCATAAACCGTCATTAGAAATATCATAGAGGATGGATTTTCATGTCAAAAACTCAGAGCTCGTCACTAAATCTCAGAAACCTTCACTAAAAGTATCTTAAAAGACGAAGATGCATGTCCATAAATCCAGAATCTGTCACTAAAGTCTAAAAACGGTCACTAATAGTATCTTATAAGATGAAGATTCATGTCCAAAACCTAGAATATGTCACTAAAGCCCAACAATCATCGTTAAAAATATTTTAGAAGATGAAGATTCATGTCCAAAACCCATAATTTGTCACTAAATCCTAGAAACATTCTCTAAAAATATCTTAGAGGATGAAGATTCATGTCAAGAATCTAGAATACATCACTAAAACTATCTTCCTTTAATTAAAGATTTTCACTATTAAAAATATTTCTTTAATTAAAGATTTCCACTATTATCATGAATCTTCAAATCAATTATCATTCATATTAGAATACTAATTTAAAACCATGGTTATAAATTAATCATATTAAGAGTTGTCATTTTAAGATTCATTGTTACTAAGAATCATGGTTACGTTGAATGCTAACTTTAATGACAGTTTTTGTTGTCCGTAGATAAAATTATTTTTCTGTCATAAGAAACTCTTCCACAGTCCAGTCATGTCAGGTTCCGTTAAAAGAAGTTAATAGAAGTGACTAAAAGTATGGACAAAATACTTTAGAAGAATCATTGTTTGAAGAAAAATTTTAGAGGGATTAAAATTAAATGTTGACTTATTTATAGGGACTAAAAACAAATTTAATCCTTTATAATTTAGAGAAAAAAAGGGTTATACAATGACAATGTAAATTAATTTTACACTGTCAACCAATAAAAACCATGTATGCCGCCACATCATGCATATATTTTAAAAAAATTAATGACATGACAAACTGTTAGTTTTCTATCGAGTACATCTCCATTAAACCCTTATAATTTAATATCTGGAAATATTATATTTTTTTATTGGTTAATGAGATAGAGAAAGTGATTAATAAACTATAAAAAAAAAGTAATTAACAATGTACATTTTTATGATTAATGCAATGATAAAATTGATTAATAGCATAATATAATATTTGTGATAAAATATTTTTTAAAAATAATTTT